CCCAAAACCCCAAAACCCCAAAACCCCAAAACCCCGCACAGGAAAATAATTAATAAATTCAATTTAATTCAATGGTTATAAAATTAATTTAATGAACAATTATAAATTTGTCTTATAATTAAGCCGCACTTTTAATACTTCTCTTTTTCACCAGAGTTCTTAGAGATATTTTGCTAAGGGGTACAATCAAAGAAAGAAAAATTAGCATCCCACACCAGACATCCTTGAATAAAAGAAATTATTCCAATCCGATCTTGTTTAGTTCTCAATCGCCAATAAACAGTTTATCATTGATAGTAATACATAGCTTGCTAATGATGAGTTAAAGATTAATGCTTACATTTAGGAAATCTAGAAATATCCAGTTTAAAAGTTACTTTCAGTAATATAAAGATCACTCTTTGAAGTTTATCGAAAAGGCGATAAAAATTAGAATAAAAACCCAGAGTTTAAAAAACTAATGCAGGCATTCCTCGCATTAATATAAAAGTATCAATAACTAATTACTCATACAGATGCAACTGCTACCTTAAGGATGATCAAAACTATTGACTAGCTTGGGCATAAAAAAGTTGTGTAAAAACTAGAAACTATCATAATGACTGCACTTTAGGAACAACTAACTGATAATACAAGAAATATCGAAAGAGTAAAGGAAATATTCAAAATACCTTATCCATTGCTGCATTAAAACATGTTTAAACTTATAATAGATAACTTTGCAAGTCTTGATTCAATATTCCATCTTTAATTTCTCATGACTCTCATTAAGGAGTTGAAGATAACCGATCAAATTAAGCTTATTAAGGAATAAAAAGATGTAGAAGACCAAGTAGTTCAATATATAATTAAGGTAGTTAATAACTAAGAATTAATTGAAAAGATCATTCAATCTCATAAAACCAGCAAGATTAAAATGCTAGCACTGCTATGCAAATTCAAATACCTAGATTATGGATCAATAGATATTTACAGCCCTGAAATGCTTAAGAGTCATGAAGATTAAGCAAAAGCTATATATATGATTTAAAAATCTCTTTAAGAAGATGTTCAATATGAGAGAGTGTTGTTTACACAGTTTAATGAGTTGCAGAGCATAATCTTCTTTTTGTAAAATAGTGTAATTCCAAATGTCAGGCCAGATCAAATATACCTCGATGCCTTTAAGAATTGCTGCGATAAAATTACTCTTAGTGAGTTATCTCAACTCAATCCAAATATACTCGGAATGACTATTAAAACAGTTGATAATAATTGTCAGCCTCATTTTTGGAATTACTGTCTATAAAGAATATTTGATATTATACAGAAATCTAATTAATGTGATATTTTAGAGATGGACTATGATGCAGTTAAGAGAGTCATTACCAGAGAGGATGTTAATATGGATTTACTTAAGGAATTTGTAAAAATGATAGAATTGAAAATTGAAAAGCAGGTATCACGATTGTCTCATTTAGCATTGATTTAGTATTCAAACATGACTATGTTAGTATATAAAAAATACCCAGATATTATCAATAGAGAATTCATCTTTCTCACTTATGAATCCGCCATTAAGCCAAGAGTTAGTTTATATCTTATGAAATCTGAAGATCCTATATTCATTCTAGAATTATTATCAATAAAAGGAGAAGTAAAGAATTATCTAGAATTCTGGGACTAGGCTAGCGGCTGTATTTTAAAAATGAAGAGGGATTTGAGTTTTGAATAAATGATTAAAGCTTCAGAGATTTTGATAAAAATTAACTAGACTACCCCTGATTTTTGGGAAGAGATTGAAAAATATGTACTTAACAATAGCTCATAGTTAAGGAATATGGAGGTTTAGTATTTAATTAGAATTATTATAGCTTTTGATAATGCTAGGAAGAGAAATGATACGTTTGGGAAAGTATTCTCCTAACTCTTATTAGAGAGATCAAGTGAAATATAACTTTCTGAATACCTGAACGTATTAAATGCTTTTGCTTATAACAGCCCTTTGATGTCTTAAGCTTTATTTGAAGATTTTGAGCTTAAACATTTATCTAAAGCTAAAAAACTCAACGATCTAAACTTAAACTAAAAGCAAGAAAATTAACTTCAAAACATATTGTTTAAATATAAAATGCTTAGACATGAAAATTATAGAGACTGGTTCCCCAAATATCACCATAGATGAATAAAAGCAAAGATTTTAATTTATTTCTTATCGTGTATCAATCTAAATTTGGAGATATTATCTGTGGGGTTTTGGGGTTTTGGGGTTTTGGGG